ATTTGTTCCGGAGGGGTTACGGTCCGACGTTATTAGATGGGGTCATTGCTCCAACGTGGCTTGTCATCCAGGAGTGACTCGCACCAGGTTTCTAGTTAAACAACGATTTTGGTGGCCATTGATGGCTCGCGACATTCACGATTTTGTTTTGGCTTGCTCAGTCTGTGCCACTAGTAAGACATCTAACCAACCCCCAGACGGGTTACTTCGACCGCTGTCTGTCCCTTCGAGACCCTGGTCCCACATCGCTCTAGATTTTGTCACCGCCCTCCCGCCTTCCAATGGCATGACGGTTGTTTTAACCGTAGTGGACCGGTTCTCGAAGGCGGCACATTTCATTCCCTTGCCCAAATTACCTTCAGCCAAGGAGACAGCGGTCACTGTCATAGATCACGTTTTTCGGTTACATGGCCTCCCGATGGACGTGGTTTCTGACAGGGGTTCCCAATTCGTATCCAGATTTTGGCAGGAATTTTGTAAATTACTGGGGGCCACGGTCAGTCTGTCCTCGGGCTATCATCCCCAGAGTAATGGCCAGTCTGAGCGAGCCAATCAGGACCTCGAAAGAATGTTGCGATGTTTGGTTGCCAAGAATCCGTCGTCCTGGAGCCAACAGCTTTCTATGGTGGAGTACGCCCACAATTCATTACCAGTGTCATCCACGGGCCTCTCGCCGTTTAAGTGTAGTTTAGGTTACCAGCCACCAATTTTTCCGAGTCTGGAATCCGAGGTCGCGGTCCCCTCCGCTCACGCATTCGTCCAGAGGTGCCACCGTACTTGGACTAGAGCCCGTGAGACTCTACTCCAAGCAGGGAGGCGCATGAAGGCCAAGGCCGATCGCCACCGGTCAAAGCCTCCCGTTTACGTCGTGGGTCAAAAAGTGTGGCTTTCTACCAAGAATATTCCTCTCCGCTCCGTGTCTAACAAGCTAGCTCCTAAATTTATTGGCCCGTTTCCTGTCACCAAGATTATTAGTCCGGTGACAGTCCGACTCAAACTCCCTCCTGCGTACAGGAGAATTCACCCCGCCTTCCATGTGTCTAAAATCAAACCCGTGTTTCATTCTCACATTAATCCGCCTGCCCCGGTTCCCCCCCCGCCGCGACTCGTAGATGGGGAACCCACATATTCGGTTAACCGCATTCTGGACTCGAGACGGAGGGGACGCGGATTTCAGTACTTGGTGGACTGGGAGGGTTACGGTCCGGAGGAGAGAAGTTGGGTACCGGCTAGAGACATCCTGGATCATTCCCTTATCGATGATTACAATCGACAGGTAAGGGAGTCTGAGAACGCCAGGAGGCGTTCTTAGGAGGAGGGGTACTGTCACGGTTTATGAATCGGCTGTCTCACGCTGATGTGTCTGCGTGAGTGTATTGTGTGGGTGTGGTTACTCGTTGTGCTGATTAGTGTCACCAGCTGTCATCCATTTCAGTTCCCTTTATATACCCAGCAATTCTCTCCCTTGTTGTCAGATCGTTGTGGTTGTTCCCCGGTGTGTTTCCTGTGCTCGTGCCTCGTCTGCTGTTCCTAGTCTGGAGTTCGTCTGTTCCTCGTGTCGTCTGGATGTTCGTCAGTTCGTCGTGTCATCTGGATGTTCACTTCCCCCGGGATTCACTCGAGCACTTCATCACCTGTTTTCCACCGGATCGCCATCTCGTCCCTGCTTCACTGTCCATCTGAGTGTTGTCCCCGACTTGTGCCTTCTTCATTGTTTATTCAATATTATCCATTAAACTGAGTTTACTTGCATACTGCATCCTGCTGTTATTTCCTCACAGGCCTACACCTCAGTGGGTCAGGTTTGCCCCATAGGTGTCAAGGCCCATTCGACCAGAGGCATGGCCTCGTCGTGGGCTTGGTCATCTGGTTTTCCCATTCAAGATATTTGTGATGCGGCCGGCTGGTCCTCGCCTTCCACATTTATGAAGTTCTATAATATGGAGGTACCTTCCCTGCAGGCGAAGGTGCTTTCGGTATGATTGAGACCTGACGGTGTCTGGTCTTGTCTACAAAAATTACTGTGCATAATCACATACATATTTATATAAACCCGCTTCGGCCGGTAATAAAGTTATACTAATAATCCCGACGGTGTCTGGTTTTGTTAGTATATTCTGTTAGTTGTTACTGACTTATATATATTATTCAGACCCGACAGTGTCTGGTCTGTTATATATATACGTATATGCATATATTATTGGGTTCTGGCTTGTTCTGTTAACTCAGGGGTCCTGAGTTGCAGTGCAACCAGTTACTTAGGGTGCGGTGTTTTGCATGGCGTCCCCAATACGAGCTACGCAATACGAAGTGACCGTTCGAAAGGGAACTACTCGGTTACTATCGTAACCTCAGTTCCCTGAGAGAGGGAACGAGTATTGCATAGCCGGCCGCACTATAGTAACTGGTGAAGTTGTCGCTTCAGTCGTATAAACCTGCTATAATGGCGAATTCGGGGGTCTATATAGGCTGGGTCACGCCCCCTTGGTGGGCTCTGACGTTGGGCTAGCTCATTGGTCGCGCGTCAGAGTCGCCCGAGCCATTGGATGTGCAGTTGCTGCAACACAGCCTATGAGCGTTTCAGACGCTCAGTGTGCTAGCTGTGCAGCTGCAAATGCGTTTTACATATAGGCTTCAGTAAATCGAGGAAAAGGAGTTTCCCCACTGCGTATAGCTACGCAATACTCGTTCCCTCTCTCAGGGAACTGAGGTCACGATAGTAACCTAGTAGTTTTTCTGCTTTCCTCTAGTTAATATAGAAACTAAAAACATAGTTAAGACGGGATTGTATCAAAGTGTAGGCCTACAACAGTATAGGCTAAGTAAGATAGAATGATACAGTACAAATATTTACAGATGCATCCAAAGAACCAGCAGGTAAAACGGGGGTGGCTGTATTCCTAAATATAAAGTCACAATACAAAAAAGAACCTCAAACCACCTCTCAATCTTCTCTGCAGAAATGACGGTCATAATGGCACTACAGAAGAAGTGAAGCCATATAAATCGGTTATTTGTTCAGACTCTATGTCCTCCTTAGCATCCAGACTGGGAAATCTGAATGCAGGCAGGATCTTTTAGACGAAGTTCATCAGATGATATTCAGAATAACGCAACAGAAGCTAATAATACAGTTCACTTGGGTTCCAGCGCACACAGGTATTGAGGGGAATGAAGGCAGACGAGTTGGCAAAAGAAGCACTTAAAGCAGAACAAGTAGAAATACAGGTTCTACTCAGCAAATCAGAAATTAAAACAATAATTAAAGATGGTATTCATAAACTCTGGCAAAATAAATGGGATAAGGGGGGAAAAGGTAGGCATTTATATAGTATTCAACAAAATGTAACAGTTAAAAAAATGAGTTCATTATCACGACAGGAGGAAACATGGTTCACTAGGCTAAGGGACATACAGGACTGAACCTATAATAGGGAAACATGAGACAGGAATGTGCCCATTGTACGGAAACTGAAACTGTGAAGCATACTTTAGATATAGGCAGTACCTTAAGAGAGAGAAAATTAAGAGGGTAACAAAGAAGTCTGTTAATTTAAGCAACCTGTTGAAACTACCAGGAACACACTAAAAGCAGTGATAGAATTTCTTTTAAAAAACACAGTTAGCAAGAAGACTTTAGTCTTATTGTATTTTTATTTTATTTTCTATGGAGGTTGAGTGAGTTGAGGTTGAAGCTGGAGGAGCTAAACACGTAGCGCCAGCTGAAGCTTGGGCTCTAATTCTCTGGGGGGGGGGGGTTCACCTCCCAATGTGATCACACCTTATTCCAGTAGATGGCGGTAATGCACATAGATTGCAAACTGCCAATAAAAGCCACAGAAGAAGAAGAAGAAGATATTTGATTTTGAGCATGCGCATTTAAGCTGTCAAATGACTACGGTAATCGCTGTAATCGCTTTGATAGGGTTGAAACTCTTGAGGTAGCAAAAACGTGTGAATGCATGTTATTAACAGTTATTAAGGGGGAGACAAAAATAATATGGGGGAGAGGTTTTGTCTCTGGAAGAGAGACGGAACGTAACAACATACTGCAAAGCATAGGTTACTTGACGTGGCGCTTTATTTTACAGCCTATACTGATCCTGTTCAGCTAGAGAAATGTTATTATTTATGTCATATAGTGTCTGTGTCATATAGTTATTGTTAGTCAAAATATGTCACTTTCTTCGTTGCCTTAAACTACCAGCTGTTTCCCCCACACCAAGATGTTAATAATAGCCAATTATAATGAAAATCGATTCCCTGCTTATTTTTATGATTGATTTTTGTAGGTATCGTATCCATCTCTAACATTGTGTAGAACCAGGTTTACTAACTAGATATGACCCCTGTCGGAGCCTTTAGTCGGAGCAGGTTCCTCTAGTGGTAAATGGATAACTGGAAAACCCGGAGTGGAGCAGAAGCCGATTACAAAACGCTTTCACACAACCTGTTCCAGACCGGATGAATATGTCTGTTGCTTGGTGACAAAGTTTGATGCTTTGCTCCTTTTGCGAAAACATAATATACACACAAAGAAAAACTCTAGAACGGTTATTGAATCACAGTCATGCTTGTGTGATAGGCCTATTGCTTAAATATTGTTTACTCATGTCATGTTCAATAAAGTAGCACGTTTAATATAATGTAATTAACAGATATTTCACAATTTGGCAACAAAAATGTCAAGATCATAGATGACCGTATTTAGAAATGTTGTCATTTATTGATCTAGGCCAGGGATGGGCAACGTCGGTCCTGGAGGGCCACTAGCTGTCCTACAGATTAGCTCCAACTCTGAAAAAATCACCTGCCTGTAACTTTCTAGTAATCCTGAAGACCTTGATTAGTTTGTTCAGGTGTGTTTGATTAGGGTTGAAGCTAAACTCTGTAGGACAATGGCCCTCCAGGACTGAAGTTGCCCATCCCTGATCTAGGTAGACTACAAGCTGTTGAGCTAAGTCCCGCCTTTGAGTTGAGACACACACACACACGCGCGCGCGATATACACTCTCAGTTCTGTATGGGCTCGTTTCTCCTTCCGAGAGGAGGGGAGAATGAGAGGGGTGAGCTTCAGCGACTGTATTATAACGACCGAAGCATGCTGATTTAAACGTAACTTTCGTGGCCAGTGTGTATGCGCTAGACTTCCTGAACTTTTGACTGGTCGTCTGCATCAGGTAACACCTCTAACGTATGGCTTTTGTTTTCTATTGTTTCCAGTGCATTCTAATTCACTGAAGGGGTTCAATTGAGCTCTGAGATTAACTGCGTAGTTGAGCAGTTTTCTATCTGGCTTTTGTTTATAGAAGTATTTCACTTGGCACCCGGCGTCTCCTCCGCGTGGGTTTGAACAGCACAAGTGTTCGGCTTCGGCTGCTGAATGTAGGCCAAAGGGCATGAACAAAAGCGCAATAACTGACTGAGTTTCCTCCTCTGTATTCAGATCATCACGGACAATCTGTGCTCCAGTTCGTGCGTCAGATACAAGTGCTGTTTATGGTTACAATTAGGGATGTACAGTACAATTAGGCATGTACAGTACAGTAAGTTAGTTAATAAATGAAAACGTCTCTTTTTTTTTTACCTACCTCGCCTTAACATGCCACCTGACACAATCAAATTAAATTATACAAGAGTCAATAAAAAATAATGATGTCTAGGATGAAATAGTAGTAGTCGTTTTAAAATGTAGTTTTAAGGTGTAAAACTAACAGGAACGTTATATTTGTATTCATGTTTGTTTCATCCATTTTTGATAAGGAATTTTACCATTTTGTACAAATACTTAGGCTAAATGTTTGATTTTCTTTTTATTATTAGAATTTTCTATATATATATATATATATATATATATATAAGAAATATCAAAAGTCTCACATAAGTCATTTCCTTAACATTGTTCCATTTGACATGTTTAAAATGTGCATTTTCATAAACAATGTGATCAAAAATAATGACCTTGACACCGTTATGAGGGTCTGAATGTCTTGTCACATGACAACAAAAAAGGCATCTATGTTACTGACTTTGATTTAGTGGATGTATATAGAAATAATAAAGAATTTGACTTCTTTCTTTTTTACGTTCTCCAAGCAGTTACACCACCTAAAAATATCAAAATGTAAGCAAAATCATAACTTCATTAAATAACAATGCTATGCTACACCATATTAGCTTAATAGATTATTATTTCAAAAGTTATTTAATAGTTAGGAATGTCTTGAAAATATATGATTTATATATGTTCTCCACGGACCCCCTGGAGTACCTTCACTAACCCCAGGGGTCCATGGGATCATTAAGAAACTATATCGTTCTGTTTCATTTTTATTTGCATATTATAAGGGTCACAGCACAAGAAATGAAGGGCAGAGAAGGGAATGTGTCTAAGCACCCTGCAGTGTCTCCTGTTTTAGGGACACAAGATTATTTCAGCTGTGAAGAGTTGCACAAACAGCATGTACTTACTGCACTCTACATTTAAATAAAAATCTTAAGTAGACTTTTTTTTGTAAATTCTACCAACAAATTCTTATTGAGAACATTTGTGCAAAACACTCAAGACTTCAAAACAATTCAAATGCTTTTAGATTGTATATGTACACTCTACACTGCATAGGGTGACCATATTTTGATTACCAAAAACCAGGACACTCGGCCCGGCAAACAGATACTCAAATGACACTCGAAGTTTACTCAAAGATGCCTTATTAAGGGGAGTGAGGTTTACACACACAGCTCTTACTAGCTTGCTTCCGTTACACTCGTAAACACAATTGCTTATGGCTTACATGAACTTTAACAATTGAGAAAGAATATGGATCCGTGTATTCGGTCTTAAAGTGATAGCAGCCTAATAGCCCTGCTGTTATCAAACAACAAAATGCAAAAAGAAAATCACTTTTGTAGCTGTAACAAAGATGAATTATATCTGATTTGTACAATGATATTTTTACTATTAGTTTCTATTAAAGACAATTCTTACCAATAAGTACCAAGGTCTTCAAAAGTAATTGATGAAACTGTTTTCAAACAGTGACAAATCCGAGTATGTTCTCATGCAGCTACATCACACTATTAGGGAAGTACAAAAATGTATTTATTTAGATATTGTGTGGTTGATGTCTTTTACTCTGCTTTGGGAAACTTTGAACGTCATTATTTGAATGCCTAGCTGCCAGTGTAAGAGCTGGAACAACCAGATGGCACTGAACAAAGACTCATTGCTGTTTTTGACCTTTACATGTTTCAATCACCACTCTGTTCTAAACTTTGTTTGTGCCTCTCTGGCATCAATGTTTTGACAGATGTTTGCTTTTTTGCAGTGACATGGAGATGCAGCATGATCCAGATTTGCAGTTTAAACTGGCTTATCCAGATTCAGAAAAAGTTGACACGGGCCTCAAAATCCGAGTGAGGGGCCAGTGGTCCAGTAAAGTGGAGTTTATCTTAGCTGTTGCTGGCCAGATCATTGGTTTGGGAAATGTATGGAGGTTTCCATATTTGTGTTACAAGAATGGAGGAGGTTTGTTTGAGTATAACTGTGAACTCTTTTTAAACAATTCAGTTCAACCAGTTCTGTTTTTTATTTATTTTTTCTTGTGTCTTATACTAAGAACAGCTGTATTTCTTTTTTTTAGGAGTGTTTTTCATTCCATATTTGGTCTTTCTCTTTGCCTGTGGCATTCCTCTTTTTCTTATGGAGACTGCTCTGGGTCAGTACACCAGCCAAGGGTCTGTCACCTGCTGGAGGAAGATCTGCCCACTATTTGAAGGTGAGTTTTCATTGTTCATTTCTAATGTCAGTATTAAAGGAGAACTCCGGCGCAAAACGAACCTTTGGTCTAATTACACATTGTTACCTAGTCAACCGTTATCTGAGATTTGTTTTCATGATTATCGAATGTAAACAGTTTTATCTCTAAAAACAGTTTAGCCTATAACGCTAGTATAACGCTAGTATATTGGGCATAGAGTAATGACAAATAAAAATCGCTTGTTAATACCACTAACAAGGCTCAAAATAGCCCCACACTAACACGGTAGCATAATGAGGGTCCCTACCTTCAAACCGAAGCATTGAGAACTTTGTCCGTGTCCAGACAGTTTAATAAGAAGATATTTTATACATACAGTCAACTTCGCGTATACAGGCAGAAGCCATCTTTGAAAACAGTCTCTACCAGTCAACCTACGAACGCCGATCCAAGTGCGCTGGTGAGATGTGAACGAGCTATAAGTTGTGATAAGGTGAGCGCGAACATTAGGCTTGGATCGGCGTTCGTAGATTGACTGGTCGAGACTGTTTTTCAAAGATGGCTTCTGCCTGTATACGCGAAGTTGACTGTATGTATAAAATATCTTTTTATTAAACTGTCTGGACACGGACAAAGTTCTCAATGCTTCGGTTTGAAGGTAGGGACCCTCATTATGCTACCGTGTTAGTGTGGGGCTATTTTGAGCCTTGTTAGTGGTATTAACAAGCGATTTTTATTTGTCATTACTCTATGCCCAATATACTAGCGTTATACTAGCGTTATAGGCTAAACTGTTTTTAGAGATAAAACTGTTTATATTCGGTAATCATGAAAACAAATCTCAGATAACGGTTGACTAGGTAACAATGTGTAATTAGACCAAAGGTTCATTTTGCGCCGGAGTTCTCCTTTAAAGGTTCTCTAAGCGATGTCGGGTGACGTCACTTCTGGTTGACGTTTAAAGTATTGTCAAACAAAACGGAGGCAAGCTAGACCCTCCCTCCTCCTCATCCACGCACTAACACCCCAAACCCCGCCCCCAAGTCCTTCTTGTCGGTGATTGGCTGGAACTGTTTGTCATGTTTCGTGGAGCGGGTTAGCCCAGTTTGTTTTTGTTGCTGTTTGTGGAGCCTGGGCTGTCTACAGAGATCGCGTTTCTTAACAGTGTGTTCGGGGGACAGGCAGCCAGCGGTTAGTGAGGAGATGTTTGCTGTATGTGACAAAAAAAGTTTTGGCCTAAAAAACGCGTGACATCGCTTAGAGCACCTTTGAATGTACAATATAGTGCATGTTATATGTCAACCATAGTGATGTATGTTTGTTTGCTGATAAAATTAGATGGTTGTAGTTAGTAAACACTGTACACTGCAATAGTGAACAATAATGGTCTGAAATGTGAGAAGTTACTTTTGTAATAATCAGTTTGAAAAACGGTTGATCATGTGATTGTTTAAATGCCATATCAGCAGATTTCTCTTCTAATGAGTCAGGATCCTCTATTAGTCTGACTTGCTTTCAAAATTGGTTTTGCTTTTGGTTTCATTAAGCATTATCTCATGACTCCATGTTTACCGAAAATGTCACATGAAGATGAAAACAACACTCACGTCACTTAACTTGTTGAATTTCCCAATTTATTGCAGTTTTTAAAAGCTGCGGTTATTTCTAAATATATAATCTCATGATAAATCAATACTTGTAAAATAGCATATTTTGAATATGTGTAAGGTTGCAAAAATTAAGGCGATTTAGATTAAGAGATTTACACATATACAGAATGCAATAATAATTCTCAAAAATGGATTACGGATACTTATCCAAAGTTAAGCTTCACAAATACATGCTTTTTATGTTCATCTGTATGAGATCCACACCACCCTTTCACCTCTCAATCACATTCCCATTAAAGTCACCCATTAATAATATAACAGTTTCATAATTTCATGTTTCAAGTCAAACTCCAAAGCCCTAAATTACTTATAGTATATTTCATACTATAAACTATAAGTGTAAATTCATAATGATTCATCATAAATAATCAATACAAATGCATTATTAATTCAGCAATTTAACCTCTGTTATAGTATGTGATTTATACATATGGATCTCTCCAGCACATTCAAAGCGAACTGGTATTGAATTTAAAGGCTGTCAACATAAGAAACATCTGAAAGGGGGTAATTTTTGTGGTTTGCTTTTCTTTAGGTCTGGGTTATGGGAGTCAGGTGGTCATCTTCTATTCCAGTGCCTACTACATCATCATTTTGGCCTGGGCTTTCTTCTATCTCTTCTCTTCTTTTAGTAGTGAACTACCATGGGCTAGCTGCAAGAACTGGTGGAATTCAGGTGTGTTATAATACTAGTTACTTTGAATTTGTTTTGTTTTGTTTTTTTGTTTAATAGATCATGTTTTTTCCTTTACCCTTTCAGAGAACTGTGTCGAGTTTGATCGAATGGGAGGAACGAGAAACCTGAGCTTAATGGAGAACGCATCATCACCTGTTAAAGAATTTTGGGAGTGAGTTTATAAAATAACCAAAAGTTTAAACTACAGTAGAGGCCAAAAGTGATGTCCGGCCTAAGAAAAATTGGCATCTTCACCCTTTACTCAAATATAAAAAATTAATTAAAGAAATGAATTAAAGATTTTGTAAGCATATTGCATAGTTGTTATTGGAGTTAGTTGTTTTATATGTGATAATGTAATGAAACATGCCAAATTGTGCGGACATCATTTTTGGCCAGGCTGTTATACAAAGAAATTATGAAGACATGCAAAAACAAAAGAGGACAAATGAAATATTAATAACTGATTAGGTTGTAGTCAATATATGCTCTTTCCTGTGAGCTTTTTGTTTTTCTATGCATTCTTTTTTGCATAGTAAAATAAAACTTGTTGCTGTTGTTTGCTTTTTCCCCTCAAATAATTGATAAATTAGATAAATACCTTTACCAAGTTCAGTGTTTTGTTCTTTCCTCATATTTAAAATATTTAAACAATATAAAATATTTTCCTCATTTTGATGGTTTTATCAAACTTGTAGGTTCAAGCAAATATCCCCTCCGGACATCAATTTTGACCAATACTGTATATATAATTATTATTTATATTATAAAAAAAGATGAAGCCTCGTAAGTTTAGTCATTTTTATCAGGTTTGAACATTTGTTTTGTATTTTTGAATGCAATAGTAATGGAAAACCTGAAAGAATTTTTTTTTTAACTAATAATAATTAAATTAATCAAATCTTCAAAAGTCCTGAAAGATTTTTTTATAGTTAATATAAAATGCTGTAATTATATGCAAAATGTGCTGCTTCGGGGGGCATATTCAAATCTCAGTTATAATAATTTAAAGTAGTATAATCATTTAAATAACTTAAATGTATACTAACACTTAATGCAAGCACAACTTTCAAGTGTAATTATTGTGTAGATGCATGAATTTAGAAATAAAAAAATAGTTAAATTAGAATTACAAAAAGTGTTTCTTGTAGGAGGCGAGTATTGAATATAACTGGAAGTGTGAATGAGCTGGGCAGTGTGAGATGGGAGCTGGCTTTGTGTCTCCTGTTGGCCTGGATCATCTGCTACTTCTGTGTGTGGAAGGGAGTGAAGTCCACAGGCAAGGTAAGAGCTAATTGAAAAAAAGACCATTATCATATATAAAATATGGCTCAGTAGAAATGTAAATCTGATACAGATTACATCTGTCTGCATGTTTGCTCGGTCTGTCTGTCATGAATATTAACTTCAAAATAGGTATGCTAGATCTCAAAATGGGAGTGCCCTTGTTCTTTATCTTTAGGTTGTATATTTTACTGCTACATTTCCATATGCTATGCTACTGGTGCTTCTGATTCGAGGTCTTACGTTGCCTGGAGCCATTGATGGCATCTCCTTCTACCTCTACCCAAATCCAACACGCCTTGCAGACCCACAGGTATACAAATCCGGAGACACATGAGTGATAGTAGTAGTAGATGAAGTATTTTTTTTCTATTTGAAAAGACATTTGCAACTGAAGAGTTAAAATTACTTTGGTTGGTGCTTTTGTTTAAAATGATGTACACCCACGTGACCATCAGGCCAGTCATATCAGTGACCTAGAAACTTTTATTCTACCCAAAAGTTCCCCTTTCATGATGGGCGCAATGTTGAGAATGAGATCACACTTTCTTATTCCACAGCTTTATTATTTGGACCTTTTCAGTCGAAGGAATTATAATGGTGAATAGTGTATTTCTACGGTAACATCTGAAAAAGCCTAAAAGTTCTGCTTTTATGTGATGATGCATTCAATCTGATAGTCAGTGTCAATATAAGTTACAAGAACATTGTTTTATCAGCCAGGGACAAATAAAAATTCTTAGAGCTCCTTAGATAGGATGTTGTTTATTATTTTTTGCTTAATCACAGTCTCTACAGACGAAAGCCAAAACAAATGATTAAGCTTTTTTTTTTTTTTTAAACAATCGCTAAATAATCAGTGACACCAAAGCATTAAAAAACGTAACTTGGATATTTCTCAGTGGAACCGCACCTGACCCTTCATGTGTCATGTATTGCTAAATACCCAATCGGTTGGTCAGCAGTTGTGAACTTGCTCTCTCATGTCTTTAGGTGTGGATGGATGCCGGAACACAAATATTTTACTCCTACGCTCTTTGCATTGGGTGCCTTACAGCTTTGGGAAGCTACAATAAGTACAACAACAACTGCTACAAGTGAGATAACTTATGTCATGAGAAACCACATTAAAGTAAATTTAAATACAGATATACTTTTAGATATATTTTTAGAGTTGTATATATAAATTGGGTAAGAACAGCTAATGACTGTATAATAGACAGATTGCTGTGATGGGTTTTGACTGCTTGCTTTGTTTCTGCTTGTAGAGACTGTATTTATCTGTGCCTGCTGAACAGTGGAACCAGCTTTGTGGCTGGCTTTGCCATCTTTTCTGTTTTAGGCTTCATGGCCTTGGAACAGGGGGTTGATATCTCGATGGTGGCAGAGTCAGGTAACTTAAACAACAGCGGCTTCTTTATGTCAGTTTTCCTGACACTTTCATTCAAACTAATGTTTTCTATACATTTCCCACACATTAATTCACATTTCACTTCTTTTGCCAGGCCCTGGTTTGGCTTTCATTGCATATCCACGAGCTGTAGCAATGATGCCTATGCCTCAGCTGTGGTCCATATGTTTCTTCCTCATGATTATTCTACTGGGCCTTGACAGTGAGGTGAGAACACATTGTCTCTCAAGTACATGATGCGTTTGACTGTGAAAATTACATTTAGTTTTGACTCCACTGACACTATCGGATGAAGCTGAATAATAATATTATGGTCTTCTGTAGAACTGCTTTACAGAAGAATTGAACTTTTTTTCATAATGAATGAACTGTTACTTTCCTGTTTATTACTGTGAAGCTACTTTGAAACAATTTCTATTGTATAAAGCTCTATAAATATGAAAGTGACTTGAGGTGACTTTTTATAAAGCTATTTGACAAAGTAGCAGATGTTTCATACATTGGGTCTCATTCATGAAACATTCGTAAATATACGAGTAAATATGCGAGTGATTTGCGTGTAAAGAGACCTTCCCGAAAACTCTTCTCCTGATTCACAAATACTTCGTAAACGTCAGATGTGATAGTGAAATGTGTGTGTGTGTGTGTTAATGAATTCTAATCAGTCGTAAATGGGATGCGCGTGCACGTTCATTCTCAATTACCATAAATCCCGCCCATTAAATCCGACTGACAACTATATATGGGCAAAAAATATAAAAATATAGTTTTATTATCAGAAGTTCATTCAAAACGCCACATTTTATTTTCAAGCGTACATAGTGGCGTATCGGGTCCTAAAAAAAAGGAAGCTTGGCAGCATATTACAGATGCAGTTAATGGAGTTTCATCTGTTAATCGAACATTCCCAGAAGTGAGAAGAAAATGGTTCGACATTAAGCTTGAGAGCAAAAAACGAATTAGTTCACTTTGGAAAAATAGTATTCAAACTGGAGAAGGACCACCATCGCAGATGCTATTACTGGCTCTCATAATAAGAAAAACCGTATGTAATTACTATATATAATATTTTTTCAAAATGCTGTGCAAATATGTACTCGATTAAGGTGAATTAAAATGCAGCCTTATGAATGAGCAAAACGTTCGGGTGTTAAGCGCACTATTTACGCGTGGCTGGGAGCAGGTGTAGATTTCTTGTGTACCAACTAACATTTGGAAAATACGAACATTTTAATGAATCCGAAAATTTACGCCAGAACCACTTTACACACGATTTACACAAAAATTCGTTCTGCTCGTGTTTCATGAATGAGACCCAATGTGTGTAAATGTGTAAATTATTATACATATTCTTAATATTCTCATAAAGAGTTTTGTGCATGCAATATACTTACAGTAAATGTGTTATGCAAGTTCTTCAGGACAGGACTGCATTAAAAAACAAAAACTGTCATTACACCTCATTCTCTTTTTCAGTTTGTGGGTTTGGAGGCTCTCATGACAGCCATAACAGACATGAACCCCACTTTCTTCCTCCAAGGACACCGTCGTAAACTCTTCCTCCTCATCATCTGTGTGAGCTGCTTCCTCATTGGCCTCCTGATGGTAACAGAGGTGATTATGTTCATAATTTAGTTATTACACTGACTGGGATTATTTGGTTATTTGATATTTGTACTTTCCTGATTCATGCTGTCTAAATCAGACCACGTAATAATCAATGAGAAAATCTGAGTTTTGAGTGCTAATCATGTTTTGTTGTATTTTTTGCATTGACTCAATAGGGTGGCCTGTATATCTTCCAGTTATTTGATTACTATTCCTGCAGTGGAATGACCCTCCTGCTATTTGCCATTGCACAGTCAATATGTATTGGCTGGTTTTATGGTGAGTTATAATACTAAATCGCCTCTTTAAAATGCAGAAAGTACTGTCTGTCTACCCTGCACAACTGAATATACAGTATGCCTGATTATAATTCTCTTCTCCACTTTTTGATCATCATTTGATGAATTACTGCAGCCACGATCAATAGAAAATTTGCACAAATGTATTTTTTTTAAACGACACAATCCAATTTAATACATAGGGCCCTATGAAATTCAGTTTTATTTTTTTAAATATGTAGGACTTCATATTTAAATAGTCTTTTTGCACTTTAATTTTTAACAAACACCAGTCCATATCGTGATTTAAATGTTTACAGCCCTACTTTTTAGTCATCTATGTTATACAGTAAATTTCATTTTTATTACTGGATTACGTGATTCAATCTGTGTTTTTTGCATCGTGGAAATCATAGGGCCCTAAATAAACTCGATTTACATATAAAGGAAGAATATTTGAGAATAGCTTAATTTAAATGTGTATGGTGCTTGATTAAACCGAATTGAAGGTTGTGTTGCTAAAACACTGTGCCAAAGTTAGAACAACCCTTGTGATATGCTGAACTACTATCGTACTATACAATTATACTATTCAGGGACAACTCTATCAGAGCGACTGGTGCATTAAGTGCCTTCACCAAGGACAATAGTGGGATTAGGGTAACCAGCAGCTTTTTTGTTGTTAGCCCAGATTTTCAAGCAAAGCCACCACCATAGTGCTGCACTGTTTATAGTAAAGGTTGATCATGTCATGAATCATAAACAATAAGAACTGAGCACAAAACTGGTGGGCAGTCTTTTAATATGTATAGGTAATTTACCTTAGTTGCATCCGAAATCGCATACTCTCCTATTATATTTGGCAAAAACGGTATGTGACAAAATATTCTGAATTCACAGTACTCATAAAAGAGTAGACAAAAAGTACCCGTATGACCTATTACTTCCAGTGAAATTCTGAAGTGTGCATGTGATGGACACTTTACTATCCCTTGAGGCCACAGGAAAAGATTTGTGACTGTCGCTGGTAGGTCACATGGCAATGGCAACAAGGGTGAATGTAGTACATCCGGATTAGATTCGTACTACACACATTCATACTATAGAACATACTTTTTAGCGGCCGCAGTAATAACAAGTAATTACTTATTCAAAACAAGTACCTACACAAGATTTTGGATGCAGCCGTGGTCATTTCTTCCTTATTTGTTTTGTGTATAATCTCCCCTAAGACTTGGTTTGTCTCTGGTTTTCCAGGTGCTGATCGTCTATATGAAAACATTGTAGACATGATTGGTTATCGTCCTTTGACGCTAATGAAATACTGTTGGAAGTATGTCACTCCTGTTGTGTGTATAGTAAGTGCACGTTTTACTCTGATTCAAGGTGGTATGATCATATTAGGTCATAAATTGCAGTGTTATTCTAGTTCTTCACCATTATTAATTCAAATTCAAGTTTATTTGTATAGCACTTTCCTTTTTAATGTAGCTTCACTGAAAATACAGTTTCAGTGTTAAAATCAGGAAGTATTCTTTTATCAGTCGATCATTAGGAAGTAATACTTTTATAGAAGAATATCAAAGGTCTTTATTATGTCTTCAGCATTAATTCAATTAATGTCTTTGCTTCTTTAGGGTACATTTATCTTCTCTTTGGTCAAATTCACTCCTTTAAAGTTTAATAACACATTCGAATACCCCTGGTGGGGCTATGCTGTTGGTTGGTGGTTCACTCTCTCTTCAACATTGTTGGTTCCTTTATGGATGATCTATGTTATCCTTATCACTCCTGGTACACTGAAAGAGGTAATTCCATGCATGATTTAACACACTTAATTACGTTTAAATGTACAAATAAGCAATGTTTAAAGCACTTTTTTAATCTTTTGCAACTATATGCTTTGCCATTTTTTAGAGACTATGTGTCCTTTGCACTCCAGCAAGTGATCTACCTTTGACATCAGAAAGACAAAAAGAAACCCTGTGACCGCAACACAAAGTACAACATGTCCCATGACTAATGGGGGGGGGGGACATCCTTGGGCTGTATTTTGGACAACTTTCTATACCAATAATGCCTTTAAAGATCTCATGAGATTTCAAGAAGGCAACACAAACTGTACATGACTGTGTTTATTAAGTTATTGAACATTACTATCTACGTTTCTCAGTTGCAAGCATCTAAAAGTTGATCGCTTTAAACTGGAAATGGACAATATACGCATAACTTCCGCGTACAGCTGAGGGAAACTCAGTTTGACGTCATCTTTAAGTGTGATAGCGCCACCAGCTTTGCTGTATCTTAAACAGTCAGAAGATATCAGTTCTTCTGAAGAAGAAAGTGGAAGAAAAAATAATTTATTATCATAAGGGACCAGCCCCATTGTGGATAGACCAATGTTCAGTACAGTTGGTATATGATTAGTGCTGCTCACTATGACAGACTTTGTGCGTTGTAAAAGGAGTCATATCAGTCAAATGTCACAATGTAAAAGTATTTTAGAATATAAAAATTTCTCACGTTTTTGTGGGTCAATCATGCAGCCCTTTGCTATTTTGTGCCTATAGGCAAGTGCTTGTGTTTTAAGAAAGTATTAAGAAAGTAAATTATGTTGGGGGTAATTATAGTACACATGTTACAACATTCACTCAGCATTTTCTCAAGAAAATAGAATCATATTTTGCTACTTAAATCTGCTTAGATGTTCAGTCTGTCTATATTGTTAGTGAAATGCATAATTTAAGAGAATATCTGTAGGTCATTTTTATAACTGATGCACTAGAAAGGCCAGTGGTTAATAATGTTTTAATAAATGCTTTGTTCAAATCAACAGTTAAATGACTGAAAATGTTTGCTGGTTGAAATGGGTTGGTGACAGCAGCTTGTTTTTGCTTTAAGTATTGTTTTGAATCACTCAAGCAAATATTAGACAACTAGGTGAAAGGGGAAAGGAGGAATTCTAGGATTAAATGGTTAGAGAATAACGTTAGACATGCAGTGCTGTCAGGCATGACAGACTGTTAGTTATATACTGTACTGCTGTTTTACTGTGTCAATGTGATTTTTATTCATGCAATTGATTAGATTACATTAGTATGTAGTTTATATAATGATAATCCAACATTTTGAACTGCCATTTAATTTGCACAGTGACCATTGGAGATTAAAGTAATTTGAGGGTTGGGTTGGGGGGATCTTAATGATAGTGAATAGGGAAGTTTATATAGTGGTAACAAGATGCATTTGTAAAGTTAGTTTGAAAGTGTTTATCATTCTCAGGAATGATGAGTCAGTGATGGTGCCCTTCTTTAGTGTACAACTGGGTTAAAGGCTAAAGGCCTCTATTTGCAAATACACCAAAAAGGCCACCCACACTGCTGAGGATGAAAAAGCAGAATATTTGCACTACAAAAAAAAAATGTGTTCCAGGGTACAGAGGGAAATGCTTTCCCTATGGATTTGTAAAGTGGGCCAGTTACAATGTAAATTAATTTGTGAATTTTGGCTGTACTAATTTTGTTACTTGCGTTTGGGTTCTAAAAATATAGGAGTAATGAAATGACAAAATAATTAAATAAACAACATTTCTATACTATTTGTTGGTGGTTGGTTTGAAATAAGTAGCATTTACTTCTATTGTAGGCTACTTTAAATATTTTGTTATTTCAAAGTATAGCATATAACAACATTTTTGCCATTTCAATTATTGACCCTGCATATTTGCACTATATCACTATAGTCTCTAGCCGTGGTGTAAAGTCAATGTTGCCTACTTAAGTATCTTCACCTCTTTTTTGGCTACTTTGAGTAGGCTATTATATACTGTCTACTTAACTATTTTTCCCATATCTTTCTATGGCATAGTGCATACTATCCATCCTAAATAGTATGTGACATTAGTAATTTTCAATACTATTTAGGGCATAGTATGCACATTGGGACGCAGCTTAAGAGTAGTATGTTAGTGTGAGGTTCCGAATTCGATTCATTCGTTACTTTTTTCTGCAGCAGTTAATTTCTGCTACAAAACCCAGCGATATCGCCATCTACAGGACATTGAAGGTACTGTGCGTTTTACCCTTACTCGCCTCAACAGGGCTACTTTACGAGAATGTAAGTGCATTAGCAGGTAGTTGCTGATGTTTCATATGACATGAGGACATGACTGCAGCCGACACCAGTATATCCAGTGCAAATAGGCTTTGACTGTTTCATTTTACTCAACACAAGCTATTTGTGTCTTAGAACGGAAAATGATTACACAGGCAATGAGTGAGAAAAATTTACATTTCAAAATGTATGATGAACTATTCAACTTTTATTGAGGCTATTACTGGAGCAACAACTTGTCTAAAAGGAAATGGTACAAGAGTTTTGTTTTGATTAAAAAATACATATTGTAAAGGCAGCTAGAGGGAACATTTACACAAAATGTGTAAAGAGTACCTGAAAGCCATACTTAAATAAATGTAGAGATACCTTACATGACTCAATTACAAGTTACAAGTCAATAGTTCCAATTCCACTTGAGTTAAAAAGTATCTCACTGCACTGTTCTTCAACGCCTAAATGGCGTGCCAATGAAAACAAGAAACAGTAGATTTGTGAGAAGTTTATCACGTTTATTTTCTAAAATCAAAATAAAACTCAACACCTCAATATTGCAATAAATCAAGGTTGACACAACAGCCTCTTAAACGTCTACAAATAGGCCTGCTCAAAAAGGGCTTAAGTAAAGATTTTGGAGTCTTAAGAGTTTTTAAAAAAGTTTCTTATCCTCACCAAGGCTGATAATAAATACAGTAAAAACAGTAATAATATTAAAAAGTACTTTCCCCCCCTATTTTAATGCAGTTTAAAATGAAATTTTCATTGAAAGCTGTTACTCTTCAGTGTCACATGATCCTTCATCAAATCATTTTAAAATGCTGATTTGGTGCTCAAGAAACATTTGTGGAAACTGATACGTTTCTCCAGGATTCTTTGCTGAATAGAAAATTCAAAAGAACAGCATTTATTTGAAATAGAAATCTGCATATATCTGTTTATATCGGTCTTCACTCTGATTTTGATCAATTTGCTAAATAAAAGTATTAATTTGTTTAAAAAATGAAATGGTACTGACCTTAAATTTGACCGGTCGTGAACACATGTATTTTCTGATTGTTCATTTTAGACTTGCCTCTTCTATATCTGAGTGTGTAAATGTGAGTCTAAAGTCATACATTGAGTGTAAACGACAACAAAAACAAGACAGTTGAGCAGTTTTCTTTGAATATTTATTGACAGGCCTGCTGTACTGCATCAAACGGTAAACAGAAAAAAGTTAACAAACTGTTTATTATTAATATTATTAAAACTGTCTGAAACATGGGGAACATACTGAAAAACATGCAAACCACACAAGTTAGTATTTGATCAAATGAACAAGTGGGTTTTAAGAGAACAGTTATTTGAAATATTCCTATCTTGTAAAAATTTGCCTAAAAAGCATTTAAGCTTCAAACTGTAATGGAAACTCAGCTCAAAATATAGCTATTGAACTTCAGACAAGTATATCTACCGGGTTTCAGGTTGAAACTAACCTGTAAATATTTTCAAATGTAGTTCCAAATCTAGGACGTTCCCAGGATGCAGTAAAGAAGCATGCACAAGTCTCTCAGAAGTATCAAAAGTGTGTTTGTGAATGTGGGCCTGCTGTGACTCCCCAAAGAATACAGCTGGGAGAGTCACAAAATAGGTTTTCTCCAAAAGGAGGATTGCACTTTTAGGTCCAGCTATCCACTATGGTCACTTGCATCTAAATGTCATACACACTTTTACAAATATAATACAAAAAACATCAAGCCTCCAGTGCACACCCCACCACTGCAAACGTAAACTCCTAATCTGATTATGCACAAAGTCGATGCAATTACACTGAATACTGCACAGTTACAGTACATGGTAAGGTACTAGGTTGTATTCAAGTCTATAATGCAATATAATATTAAACCTTATGCTTTCGCATTAATGCAGCGGATGAATGCCTTTCTGAGAGCTGAGGCGTGCACCGTAGAGGTTTACAGGTGGTCATTGAATTATGCGCTTTGGTTTTTGTTGTTGTTGTTTGTTTTCTGTTCTTGTAGGAATGGCATTAAGGTTTGCAGCTCCTCAATATCCTTAAACCTAATTATTAGAATATTTCCCAGCATTTGTTTTCAGTCTGGGAGATGATGAGGTCAGAGGTCAAGGCTTATAGAGGGCTCATCCAGCCCCCAACCCATTGCCTCTCTTATGACGTAGTCGAGGACGAGCCAGCCATCCCCACAGCCTGACCTCCTTACTTGGGCCTCCTGAATAGCATCTGGAGGTTTAGGAGCTGTCCTGACTGAGACGTGGTCTCTTTAGTCCCTGTTTATTCTGATCTGAAATTCCACTCTCTTCTTTTTTCCTTTTTAATCGGCCCACCTACAAACAGAGACAACATTTTTAGATGCTAAAGTAATAGTATTTTCTTCAAACAATAAAGATGGCAATTATTAAAAGGATAGTTTGCCCAAAAATGATTTACTTGCAATCATGTTGTTACAAACAGGTATGATTTTTTTTCCTATGCAGAATAGTGATCAAGGACGGTTCCAAAAGTGGCACACACAAAAAAAAAAACACTATTAAAATAGGTTTAATGTGAACATTACGGGTTCTTGTTTTTCTCATTAATAATTGAGATTAAGTTGAGATAATAAGAGAATTAAGTTGAAAATAATTGCGATGCTTAACAGGGTTGTTATTATCTAAAACTAAAACTATTAAAAATATTGGGAAATTATTGAAAATATAAAGCTGAAATATAAATATTAGTTAATTAACTTAAACATAAATTAGAAATGCTGACTTGGCAATAAACCGAAAGTTGAAGCACTACAATTATTAACTAGAAAAAACTAAAACTGAAATAAAAAAATAAATAGCTATATAAAAATAAAATAAATAAATAAAACTAATAAAATGACAAAATTAAACTAAACTTAGCATGAC